CTTTTTTCGTCAAAATGTTATTATTCATCGACCTTCCGTCATTTTCAGATATAAGAGCGGGCGCAGCATATGTACTGTAAGGGGGAAAGATTCACGAAGAGGTTATCCCTCGGTATCTACCTATAGTATGGTGACACCAGTCCGTAACCCTAGCCAAGCACTCGCTAGCGCGACAGTACGTATGTATGTACCGTCATTCACGGGGTATTGGCGGATACTGGGTGATGGTGGACAGGGCAAAAAAAGAGACAGCCAAGCCAAATTTTACCAATACCCAGTATCCACCAATACCCCGTGAACGACCGTACTCGTTCCTCCATATGCATGCATGTCTCATATGCGCCAGGGCTCGACGCCGAGACATTAGATTGGAACATCATTGAACATGCTGGAGCTGAAGTTGATCTCGAAGGAAGACGCTGTAGTTTCCGAAAATATTAGAAGTTCGCTACTCTACGTTTTCAACAGTTGCTGTAAGCCGTAGTGACATCTAATCTCGGTAATTACATGTAGTTTCCTTGCGGATGGTGAGGTCCTATCGTGAAAACATTGATCTCGGTTGTGCTCCTTGGTCTCTACGTCACCATAGTCCATAGCCCTAAAGCCTACGACTCCATAATCCTTCATCTACAGTCCCAAGCCACATGTACCACCTGTTATCCCTCTCTATTAGGTATATTCTACTAGACCCCTCCGTAATTAATTTCTCGGATTGTTTCATAAAAACCGGGTCTCGCTATATAACTTAAATCACGGAATCTCACTCAACCTTTATCCCCAAGTCATCGGCCGGCCTGTAACCTGAATTTGATGTTAGTCCAAAACTAGGCGCGTTTAATACCATAGCTCCCACGAGTCCCAACCGCTGTATAACCCTTATAGTTAATGAATTGTTTTTGCTGACCCTATCCAGCCTCTAGGTGTGCGGGTTACAGGGGTGCGCCAAGCCTAGGATCACAACTTATCACTCTTGTTTCTTTTTCCAAATCACCTGCCCGTAACTCGTACATCACACCGCAAAAAACCTATATATCATACATAAGGATAACATTCTGAATAGGTTATAAACATCGGCAAACACACCTCCTGACCATGGATTTTACATCGCAGGTAACGCGCTGTAGCGAGTTAGTGCAAATATGGCACAGTGAGAATAAAACCTTGGGTTTTCCACTACTCTGATCGACGTCTTCTTGGAGCACCAAGCCCAAGAACCTTTAATTAACCATACCTTCTTAGTGATGTGTTCATGTGTGCTTTGTTGGGCAGAACTCTGTGGCTATCTGCATAAAACCAAATCTCAGCTTTCTTCAATGGGCAAAATTCGACAATTGGTTGTAGTAGATCCTAAGCTAGTGTAGCTCTGATAGATCTGACCTTAGCGCAGAGGTTTATTCAAGAGAATATATACGGTTTGAGAAGGTCCTCCCTTAATCCCTCTTGCACCATGTATTATTAGATCACGATTGAGGACGGTTATTCCCTCAATGATCATTATGAGTACGGCAAAAAAACTCGCGAACTTTAGTAGCGGATCTAACCTAAAACTAACTTATCGAGGAAATATCCGAAGCTGATCTCTGCCTTTCAGCCGGTCATCAATAGGGGGATCCCTGCATGGAGATAATTAAGTTCGCGAGTTTCTGCAGTACTTTGCACGCTTTGATCAGCAGACAAATATCCAAGATTATTTAAAACTCTATTTTGGCGATAATTGTGAGGTATCGTTTTCAGGGGTCTAGTTAGCGGGACTTTGGGGATTCTCGGTTGCGCTGTACTTGAGCCAGCTGGTTCTACTTGAACTCATTTGAAACTTCCCATGCTTAGCAGAAAGTATTCAAACGTCCGTGGTGGTCAGTGGAAATTCTCACAGCTAATACTAGTGTTGGTTAGATTCCTGACTCACAATCATGTATTTGTCATGAGGCATGTATGTGTATCTTTGCCACACTAGTTTGAGATGGTTTTGTTGGCGCACCTTGCTGGTCATTACGTATTTACAGTCAATTGCCAATGGTGTAGGCTTTATCGAAGTACTGAAATCGACTACGATATCAAGCTTTACTCGGGGTACGCAAAAAGAACCTAGAGATAAGAGCTACGAGGTACAATTCAAGTCGCAGTATTCATTTTCGGATTCTTTTTGCCAGCCCGTTGTATATCCACATTACCCACAATGCGAGCATTGGTCCCACCAAACGCACAACTACTTATTGCTCACTATCAAGCATCAGATATGATGCAGCGGCAGGGGCCTGACAGAGTCAAAGCGTCTCAGTACAGTCGTCCGCCGATATAACGAACGTGCATGTTCCAAAGTTTTCCGTTCGATACAGCAGATTATTCGGTATAGCAGGCAAGTTTCTATGTGAAATTTAGATTCGGATCACTGAAACCCGTTCGTTATAGCAAATTTGTGGCTTTTTTGGCATTCGTTATATCGGCGAACGACTGTATATGGGAATTGATAAATGTATTTATTAATAATTGTATAATACCTACTTCTATGTACAATAAATGAATTAACAAACAAACTACTTCTACGTTAAGAATCGAGTGATGGCCCTGGAGGTATTTTCAATCCGATACGAGAATCTACCTAGTGCAGATTGCTATACGTGGCGATGTACCCGGGGGTGCCGGAAAGTGATGCAGCGATCAAATAGTCCATATTCCTCAACAATAAAACAAGCTAACAGAATCTGGACCGAATCTATGATGATTTAGAAGCTGGAGATCATAGCCATGGTAAGAGTAAATATGAATAGCCATTGCTTCTCCTTTTGTTGCAGTCTCTTGTCGCGGGTTGTTCTTTGCCGGCTAAAAACCCCAAATCAATGACCCGAAAAAAATAAAGACTCTATTCTAGAGACTGATGTATCATTTATATGACTAAAATATCTATCTTGTTCAAGTATTGTGCTGTGTTAAAAATTGAAATTCCGAGTGCCTTTCCGCGTTGCTAGCTCAAACGTTGTATCACTTTCCTGCGTCCCCGGGTACAGCAAATTCAGGCAACCCACATGTACAAGCTCCGAGCCGTGCGCGTGCACGTGTGGCAATATTCAGGCATCCAAGACAAGTGCGAGTGGGTGCCTGAACCTATGCAGGTGCGGTTTATAACTATAAAAAGTTTTTAGACAGCAGCAACTCATGGGCTACGTTTCAAGCTACATCACCATCATTCTATTTTGTCACGTGGTTGGTCAATATTTGGGCGAGCGTTCGACGTGACCACAAGTTCCACAACCATTGTCAATGTTTCGGTACTTCACCTATCTCCCCCTTTGTGGGTGACAGACCGTTTAGACTAACCTGGTGGAAGATATATAGAGGGAGTTACCAGGGGCGCGTGAACAAATTTATCAAGAAAAAAATCAGTAAACCTATACTTGTGGAAGGCATCGGAGAAGTCATCAGTGAAAGCATGGGCAAAACTGGAGGAAGTTCCACTCGAGCCAGGAAGCAAATACCAGAAGATCACAGAACGGCGATCAAGTTCAATGTGTACGATAACTGTTGGTGTGCCCAAATATTTACTATACAGATTTCACCACGTCATGACTCCCCCACTTTCAGGAATTTTTTCTCTGACTTGAGTAGAACTTCCTCTAGTTTTGTACATGCTTTTCCTGGTGCCTTTCCCAGTGCATTTCTCAAGTGTACATTTCCGGACGCTTTTCTCACGATAAAAGAAGATGACAGGAATCGAGTTGGGGTGTGGAATCTTTTCTTTTGTTTTGTTTACATGTTTTCTTATTTTTTGATAGAGGTGGGGATCTGGTATCACAGCCGAAAGGCTACATGCATGTATTGAATGGGTCGGTCAAGCAATCAATAGTACCTCCAGTACCTCAGTTACATTTTAAGAAAGCCACCAAAAGGTGTATCGGATAATCCTTCCACCAAGCACCCTTGGCGGGTTTGGGCGTACTCTAGAGGGCGCGTGGAAGTACATCTCCATTACAGGGTGGTGTATATATGGTAGAGCGTTAGAATGGTGCCCAGGAAAGTACTAGTGACATCTCAGATGGAATTAGATCGTCTAGTATAACAGGCGTATAGCCAATGCCTCCTTCTTTTTTTGAGGAGTTGTACTCTCGGTCACCCTCTATGTAAGAGTAGATTCGTCGTGGGCCATAATCCGCGTGTTGGTGTGGTTGTAGAATCGAGCTTTTTTCATACTTGCATGCAACCCTTCGGTTATGGCCAATGCAGGGCTTCACTTATAGAGACGTTAGTCTCAGGTGTGGAATACCCCAACCGACGTCTAAGGCCAGCATCTTCGCTTAGTCACACTCCTCCGCATCTCCGCATGCCCTTTAATTGCATGGGCACCGGATGCTGGGAAAACTCCCTCCACAGAGCATGTGGAATCGAGCTTGCTTTAAGCCTTCATAGTTCAAGTGATTCCAAAATGCTCAAGAGTCCGTACATGGCTAGATCAAACCGGTCCCATCAGATGTCCAACAAAATTCGGTATCTATTATGTTTTTATTAACTCTAGTACCATTGGAGTAGATATAGATGATTATTCCGCTATGAGTTTATGAGGCCTTGAATCGATAATTACACTCGGCGGGTAAATGGGGCATAAATACCGAAATGCGGAGAGAGCGCATATAAGCATGCAACCCCCAGTACTCCACGGTGACTAAGGTTTAGGATTTGAATTGAACGAGTACATATATCAACTCGTTTTTTATGCGTGCCGCTTGTACCAGCCAAAACTCAAAGGTTGCCAAAACCTGGTAAGCTCAAGTGGCTTGGTTTCGGGGGAGTTCATGAGGTCCAATACTACATCAGACAGCAACAGGACGGAAATCAAAGGAGTTGGGGCTAAGGTCTGCAGCTGGAGATGAGTCCTTTTGAGAAATTTAGAGATATCTAAGAACCGCATTTGTATCTTTCCATTGTTCGTGATTATAAAATTACACGAGTTGACATTAAGCAGCAAAATGAAAAAAAAAAGACTAAGAAATGCAGGCCAAGTGAAATTTCTAGTGGTCTAGAAGTGCTACCACCCTCGAATACCCTCGCTGGACTGCCATATCTCGTGCGGTATTCCCAGCGGAATTCTCCGCATTGGCCTTTGCCCCGCTCTTCAGTAACAACCGCGCGGCATCTAGATGCCCATTCTCTGCCGCGAAATGCAGAGCTGTATGTCCTTTTGCATCTTTTTCATTGACTCCAGCCCCTTTCTCCAACAAAGCCCCAATCACTGCCAGATGTCCTCTCTGCGCTGCAAGGTGCAGCGCCGTGTCCCCCTCCCCATTTCTTCCGTTGATATCCGCCCCTTGGTTCAGTAGGGTGCGTATTACCATGTCATGCCCGTTTTGAGCTGCGAGATGTAGTGCTGTATAACCTTTTCCATCTTGGCCATTAATTTCCGCTCCATTCACCAAGAGGATTGATGCCACTTGCTGAAACCCCAAATCAGCAGCAATTTGTAGTGCCGTTCTTCCCCTTGACATAAGGGCATTGATGTTCGCCCCAGCACGTAGCAATATCGAGATTTGGCTCGCTTCACCTCTTCGTACGCTTCTATGTAGAGGAGTCTCTTGCGTTTCTCCCTTTGTCACTCTATCTCCCCCATTCTTCATGAGTTGCAGCAATTGATGGACCAACCCATCTCTCTGCGCTGAAGGCATATCGGGTGATAACGATAACCTCTCGGCGATCCGGACAATATCGTCGAATTTCCTTTCTGCATCGAGGACCGCGATGGCCCTCCGGAGTCGCCTCGCCATCACCGACCCCTCTTCTATGTGCGAGAGCCGTTCCCGCATGGTTGCGAGCCTCCTATCTCCACCATCTCTGATGAGGAAACATAGTCTTAAAACTAGCTCGTCTTCGTGCCCCGCGCCTAGTGTTCTACCGTTGTATTTTCCGACATACTCGATGAGGTCTTCGAAGCAGGTTTCCCATCGCTGGATGCTGCATAGGCTGTTTGTTGGTGCTGATTGCGCAGCACGGTGCCCGGTCATCTCTAGCAAGGTGAGGCTACTGGGCCGCTCCCGGCCATCCCTGCCGGGGGTGATATCGAGGCATTTCTCAATGATTGGGAATATATCATCGAAACCGGGGGCCTTATTCCTAATAGCCTCGAGCAAGGCGTTCCCGGTGAGGCGTTGTCGCTGATTGCTGGGTGGGAGTGTTCGAGATATCAGATATAGGATGGTACCTTCAGCGCCAGATTCATGTCAGCTTAGCACTGAGGTTGGCATTTTAAAATGATAGAGAGTGTATTGCAGGGGTACATACAACCAAGAGAGTATATATCGGATTTTGTAGTCCAATGCGGTTTCTCGCGCGTGATTTCCTACACCAAATTAGTGTCTGCATGGGCCAAAAGGAGTGTAATACAGAGATTATCTAAAACATACCGGTGGTCTAAAAGCGGAAGTGCCAGTGTAGGTACCCGACATTTCCGATCTGATCACCTTTCCAATGCCAAAGTCGCACAGCTTAACAATATCAGAATCCGAACTCCAGAGGAGGACTGGAGCTCAAGTGGTTATACGTTAGCATCAGCCCAGTGTACCACCGGAGATTGTATGGAAAGATCCCACCATTGCTGGGTTTGATATCCCTATGAAGAATCGGCGTCCAACGGGGCTCCACCTCGAACTTGTGGACGCCATTGGGGAGCCGGGTGACATTCAAGCCGTGATGGCAGTAGGCAAGGCTGAGGGCTAGCTGGAAAAATACTCTCCAAATAAACTCGGGAGTAAAGAGAGCTTTATCCACTCTTTTCCGTTTGTCAGTCTCTGCACGCACGAGTTTCGGGATAGCGAGCACAGCAAGGGCCAGATGCTACGAACCTCGACAAATCACCACCCTCACAATACTCCATGAAGATGCGTGCCTGTCCATCTGGTGGCTCAGAGTCAGAGGAAATATATCGAACGATATTTGGGTGTGTAAGCGTCTGGAGAATTGAAATCTCCCGTTTTATCAAGTGCGTGATATCTTCGGTCCCAGAGGTTGGGGAGATCAACTTGCAGATGAGCTTCCGCCCAGACTCATGCCGATACACGAACGCGGTACCAAATCTACCGTGCCCTGCCGAACCTGTCAACTCAAAGGTATTACCATCCACGATGACATTATTAAATCCCTGTAGCAATCAATCAGCCCAAATAACCGGTTTAGAAGTCAAGACCGGGGGGGCCACCATTTTAATTGATCTCTGTTAAGTGATTTGATTATTGAGCCTTGTGAGTGCGAATGTTTAGTCCAGTCAATGGGGATGGATTTGGGGGAGTGGAAATTATGCATGAAGTGATGAGAATATTCGAGGAACACTTCCGTGATCGAGCTTATTATATGACTTGGCCATCAGTAACCGGGGCCGGGGAGGAGGACCTTTGACCAGAATTTCGGGCGCTAGTGACCTTACAACCACCCCGCTAGCTAGATTATTAGAACGTTGATGTTAATATAACGGCGCCACACCGTACGAACTACATGGAGCTAGATTATTTTTGTCCTTTCTTGATCTGGAGTTGTAACGTTATCAAACGTCTAAAGTTTAAATCTCGCGCCCAGAAATCGCATATTCTGTTGTAATTTAGCCTGTTCAAGTCAGAATTACAGCTTTCGCACCAGAACCTACCTGATGCGGTAATAAAGTCTATTGATAATCCTCCGGGGGCGATCATCGCGGCAACACAGTGGTAGCCCGAATTCAAATTCCATCTGACACTCTCCTTCGCCTAGATCCCTGGGACCAACCAGTATGCCCCTCCAGTTGTCCGGCTCTGGAGTCCGCAATGTGCCCACTTAACACGGAGGATAACTGATCGACTTCGCTAGTTGGGGTCTACAACGGTCGCGCTTAGCCCCTCAGAGTTGGGGGTGGTCAACCCTGCATGCATACCTTTTTCTGTCGTTTGACAGAATTAACAGGTACGTACAGTCTTCCTCCGGCAAAATATTGGTTGGGCAGTAAGAAACCGAGGTGTGCCTGCAACCTAATTGGAGATCCGCGATTCCGATCTCAAGTGATCTATCTTCCTCGACCATTAGGGCCAGACGTAATGACTGACTGCTATTTCGGTACCCCAGGAACAAAAAAGATCGTTGGCTAGACTCCAACAGCTAGATGGTAAGAAACATATCCTCTTTAATGGAGTATTATGTCCCCCGGAACGTACACAAATAGTGCAACCCACAAAACAACATTGACTACAATATCCCGAAAGAATACTCCGTATAGACCCTAAACTGGCTACGAGAACCACTAGATTTCATGGCCGATGTCATAAAATACCAAAAAGAAAATACTTTCAAAACCACGGAAAACCGCGGAAAGAACACCTAACCCTTATTTGCTAATTTGCAGTAAGGAATGATCTGCTCCAAGGAACGAAATCGGATATGCATCATGAGGTACTGCATCCATTCGAACGAACGGCCGGTCACACAAGACATTGATCAAGTCGCCAGCTTCTCAGATCTACATACAAAAAAAAAAATCCTCTGTTCGGCGTACCCCATACGCCAGTCCACTGAACAACCCAATATCTCGGCGCCTATAAATCCATCTTAGGATTTTGTTTGTTAGTACTAGTCCGCAGAATGAGAGGAACTATAAACTTTGTTTTAAGGCAAATGGTCTGCCATGTGTCGAATCAGTAGACAAAAATACCAGTTTAGCGGATCGGAGTATGACCAGGCATTTCCGAATAAGTCTCCCAATTGTTTGTTATCGACTTATGCACCCCTGGTCCAAGCAGTGGTCCTTATTCAGGGGGCCAAATAATTCCTACAAACACAATCATATTGATCAATGCCAACCATGAGTAAAATTCGTTTTTTTGGCATGCGTAGCTTTTTGCCAGATACTTTGGGTATGCAAGAAAACACAGCTATTGGAGGGTGCAACTAACAAACACCGGTATTATTTGTGTATGTACCTACCTACTCTACCTGGCGGGGTAGATTTCCCACTCCCGAGTACGTCTACTCCCCACACCAAACTTCTAGCCCTTTATTATGGGGGTGACACGTTAAGGTATATTATCAGTCCAGTGTAGAAAGAAACAACGCGGTGCTGGTTATATTATAAATGACGTTATCATGAAACGCACCAGGATAGATAGAAAGGATAGAAAAACTAAGAAGCGGGGTAGATACATGTAGATTAGGTACATTCCCAAGCCCTGAATATATGTGTCACACTCGATATGACTGACATGATACATACTTGATCCTTGTGCTGATTATATTATTCGATTCTAAACGATAACATGTGTTCCCATTGGATCGTCCTTCAAGCCACAGCTGGGTCTGGACAAGCTGTGTGGCGGCCAGTCACCATTTAGGAAGCTGTTGGCGCCTGTGTTCATTACGGCGTTAGGCGTAAAGGAATAAATAGAGTACATATCAGCACAAGCATGCAACCCTCCCCCCCGCGGCGCGGCTCAGGGAAAGTCGGCCTTAGTCCACTACCATTACTACATGTATTATGTTCGATAATCACCAAGTTATCCGCGTAATTACATGTACCCCTCACATCAACCAAAAGACAACCAGCAGGCAGTAAGTTTACCCTTTACCCTGTTTATTCCGTTCATTTAGCTTGTGAGGTTGTAGTGGTCGCGTCGCGTAGGTGCTTACCGAGTATAAATAGGCGCCCGAACCATCCGATTATTAATTAAAGAAGACAAGAGTATACCAAGTAACTACCGCTAAAGTGTATAGAAGTAACTTCACCTCATCCCACCCCAACCCCCCTTTTTCTCCGCGTCGCGTATTCACTGCTAAAACTACGAAAGGAAACAAAAAGAGAAAAAAAAGACAGAATGGAAGCTATTGTTGGTGTCGCTGGCTTGGCAATCGGGATCCCCGGACTTATCGATGTGCTCATCACGGCGTGCAACTATCTCGCCGAAAAGGTTAACGACTACAAAGATGCCCCAGCATCACTCCAAGAGATCAGAGCCATGGAGGTTGAGCTTGTCAGCACCCAGCTGACAGCTCAGCTTGAGAGTGCCAAAATCGTTATCAAGTACCCAGATGTCAGCGATGGCTTGAAAGCCTATCTGGGAGCGCGTTTGTCCGACATCAAGGACCGCCTCGTGAAGACGGATAACCTGCTGGAAAAATATAAGAGAAGATCTATCGCATATGCATGGCTCGGTGGGAAGAAAGAACTTCTCAAGCTTGTTCGAGACCTCCGGAAGCTGGGGCAGGATGTGGACGCGGCGCTAAACGGCATCTGGCGCCACAAAAAGATGGTTCCATCTCGCCTCTTTCTAACGAGCTCGCAATTTCAACTTATCGGCGGAGACGAAGACGAAACAACAAAAAACCCGCTCCCACATTCAGAAATATACCTCCGGGAGGGATTCCTTACGAACTGTGAGAATGCGAAAGATATTCGCGGTCGTGGAACTTTTATTCTTGAGCCTATGTTGTATCATTGGGGAGAGCAAGAGAGCGCATCGGAAGAGGCTCTCCTCCTTGCATCAAAGCTTTATAAAGCCGAGATCTCGCACGGGATCCCGAGGATTATCGGATACCGCCACGTCCCTTCACGCCAATGCCACGAGCTTGTTTTCTCGATCCCCTCTGACCGTGGGACCCCTCGAACTCTTCATGATCTTCTCCTCTGTAGTAACCCTGCTATTCGAGTCCCGTCTTTGACTGCCAGATTAAACGTCTGCTACCAACTAGCTAAAGCTGTTCTATTCACCTATGACCTCGAACTCGTCCACAAAAATATTCGCCCCCAAAATCTTATCATCCTGTGCCCGGAAGACACACTCGATACAACGGACGAGAAAACAATAAGATCAATCATTCTCGGGACAGTCTTTCTAACGAATTGGGAATCGTCCCGGAACGCTGGGCATGCCACGAAGCTCCTGGGTTCGAAGGATTGGCAACAAGGAATTTACCAACACCCTCAAAGACAAGGACAAAAGGCAGACGCTTATTATGTTATGGGTCACGATATCTACAGCCTCGGGGTTTGTATGTTGGAAGTCCTTTTATGGAAGACCTTCATGGACCAAAAAAACGGTGTTTACCATATCAGTCAGTTGTATCAAGAGAGAGCCTTGCACCTCGGACTAGTCCAACCGGACTTCTTCGGAAACACACAAGCAATGACAAAGATTCCCCGAAATGTGCAAAAGATATTGATCGATATCGCTCGGACTGAGCTGCCTGCGGCGGCCGGAGACAAAATGACGGAGCTTGTTGTTAATTGTCTCACCTGTCTTGAGGATGGTTTCGGGGGACAGTTTATCATCCCTGAGGGCGAGGAGGACGAGGAGGAAGAGAACCACAATATCCGCTTGAGGTACATGCTGGACGTCCTAAGCATTTTTCCTAGTTGAAACATGAAACGCCGGTCTTGTCATTATTATGGTTTCAGGATTTATTTCAAGGACATGTCAATTAACTGCAAGAAATATGATACATTGCCAACACCGTTATGCTTCCAGCGGCAGTGACTCTGATACCTTAGAATACCTGATGCATTGCATTGATGGCTGGCTCCCCGATAAATAATATCACAACGACACAACACATCCGACGAAGACTATTCGTGGCTTTTCCGATGCCTTTCCCAAGTATAAAAACCCTGATACCTTTCGCTTATCAGGACATGTTTTTCTGATTAACTCTCCCCTCCTGCAATTTTCTATATCCCTTTCGAGTTCCGGTCGCCCTCCCCAAAGACACCTTCAATTAAACGTTCGGCGATGCTCCCTCAGGACATAATCTTTCACCCGATGGTTAATAATCCTACATGCCCCTGCCCCTAGATTTGTTTTAGTAAATGGCGCGATGTATTCTAGTCATATATCCTTGCATTGTTGATATCTCATTCTGAAAATAGCGGTTAGAGAGGCTTTGATGTATATAGAGTGGAGGAATGAGAAAGCGGGTAGAATAAATAGGTTGATACCACCTACATATGTGCCAGAAAGAATGTGCCAAGACCTTTTGCTTGTATGGGAAGCTGACAACGTGGATCCGGATCATAAGGCTCATATCTGGAATTGATTTGGTTCTTTTGATCAGGATATTGGGTGATTAATTAATTGATTCACGTTACTTGAACAAGTAAAAGAGCCGAGCGACAACTCATAGGAATGGACAGCCATGAACCCAATCTCTTACTTCGGCGGGATAGCTATAACAGAGCAAGGTAACGTTTGGGTAAATGTGCCTGAATACCTAACATCTCCCCGGGGTACTATGGAGTGGAAGCTACCCGTGCAGCAGGGCCTGCAACCCGCTGCAACAGGATAGAACGCACGTTTAGATCAGTGGATATATATATGTAGCAAAAGAATTATAGGATATGTTTGACAAGGAATATCTAAGCTCCTATTGTGGGTCTATTATTTTAGGTAATATAATGTACACAGAGATCTACCGCGTGTCGGCCCCAGTCCATCTACGTTACGCCACCGCACTTGGTATTCGGGTCACCGCCCGCCGATATGCTCACTCTCATTCATTCATCTGCTCCCATGTTATCATCCGCGTAGTTGACTAGGGGAGATTGCGCGATGGATTCGAGCCCCAGGCTGGTGCCATAGTACGTTCGGGAGCATGATGAGGGTGGTATATGATGGCTTGTGGAGGGTGATTTTGGTGGATCGAGGGCCTTGTGGAGTTTGAGGTTAGCGAGGAAATCAGGAGGATGAACGAGGTGGGGCCTTCTGGCGCTGTGCATACTGTGATGTTAGACGTGGGGATACTCACGATGGCATTATAGGGTCGGTAAGTGCTCGTTTGCGATTTGGTGGAGACTGTGCGTGTTGGAGAGAGTATGGGGGTGTAGCCTATATACTTCCGCGTGTGAGCAAGAGGGAGGAGAGAGCCTGAGGAAGAGAAGCAGGAACTGGAAAAGGCTCTCCATCCCCAGCTGGTCAATCTTTTTATGCATAGTTTCTTGCGGATTCGCCTGTTAATGAAGGGACCAAGAAGACTTATATTCCCTCCGGATGGTGCAGTATCTGTTCCACACCCCGAACTCCCGTGCTTGTAACATGGTGAATCAGTAGTTACTACGGGTGAAGCATATCTGGCTCTGTATAAGGTCAATACGCCTTCAGAGCGTCTGTTGCAGGTGATATTTGTGGGATAGCAGTTGGAGTCTGAAAAGCGTATCGGTCTTACGTGGAGTGCTGCGGTTCGTGATCAGTAGTAGCGCGAGGATGACATTTGTTCGTGCCAGTTTAAGCGTGTGGGACTAGAAGGCTAATCTTGTCTGTGTCCGCAGACATCAGCATCTGCTTCGACAAGGGTGAGCTTTCCATTGCTGTTAGTAGCTGTGAAGACACTGGGCTGCTTCCTTTGCTGACGAATGTTACTGCTGGTTTGGGGCTGCTCTGGGTGCCCGTTATTGCTAGCTGTAATTCATGGGTCGTTAAATGGGGATGAGTTAGAGATTGACTGTCTGTGGTATAGCTAGGGAAAAGGGGTGGGAGCTATTCTAGGGGGCCGGCTGTTTACCAGGAGGGAGTTCAGGCAACCAGTCTTATTAAATGACCCTAACCCTGGTTATGCGCATGTGAAAGTCGTCACCATAAGCCAATTCTTACTATTCACCCTGCTTTCTCTTACACACGAAGAGTATTAATCTTCTTAAAAGTCAGATAGTTGAGGGCTTAGATGAACGCGCAAAGACAGAACTTTAGTGGACCCTGTACCCTCTGTCTTTCCACAGAGCTTTGGCTAACTATTTGGAGCATATAAAGATTGTAACACCAGCAGGTACTTGTACATGTACTTAGTAGTGGCAGTCGTCTGCTCACGCTGTCGGGAGGCAACCCAGTCGAGGAATAAAATCTAGTAAGTTTAGCAGCTAGTTAATTTAAATTACTTATTTCACTGCGGGCAGATTGCGCTGTGCAAGGATGTAATGTTTGCCCCCGTAATGGGCCAAGAGGTACAAGTAGTAGTCGAGAGCAGAATATTCCAAGCCTTGTAGGATGTAGCAGTGCTTGATGTTTGATACGAGTCGATCAAATGTCCCCAGGCTGCTGTTTATGTTAAGGCCCCCTAACAACAATTTAATTCGACCTCTTGCAGGTTATGACTCTGGGCCCTCACAACCACGCTGCTTGTACTATCCCTTGGACTGGTGAGAGATGCAGATTTCCTGCCTTCCTGATATGGGAGATAGAAGAGGTGGCTAAGTGACTTTGCCACTCTAGCTCCATCATGGCGAAGTCACTGAGCCACCGCGTATACCTCCCAAGAACAGAAGGTAGAGAATAAAATCGGTATGAGTTACTCTGTTTTGCTACGGAAGATGTAAAGTTCGTATAAAAAAACGTATTTGCTTTATCTAGATAGAGAAATAGACCTTCTATATATGGGCGCACTACCGGCATTTAGGGAAGATAGAATACGGATTGCGGGTGCATGCGGGTGACGGTTTGTGACCGCGCCCGCTCGAAACCCTAGGCCCTACCATAAGAACGCCAGAGTAGCTGTAGGAGGGCGGATTGTAGATACAACCAAACTAAATTCCCCCACCTGTGGGTGAGCGCTGCGCTTAGGTGTAGCAAGTAGTCGATAGGTTACATAGAGATGCGTACACAGTCCAGCGCTGAGCCCATCTTGACCCGGGTGTCAAAGTTGAGTTGCTTTCGACCAGAGGGCTTGCCTCATTCCGTGGACACGCTACACAAAACAAACTGTGCCGGTACTGGCAGCACTCAGTCTCCATTTACAATAACGGAGTCTATATGGTTCCTTATTTTTCAGTTTACGATAGCGTGATAATGTGTATCCTGCTTTATTTTGCTTCCAAATACACAGAGGTTCAGGTCATATACCACCAAAATTCATATATATACAAGCTCTGGTAGTGCAGTGGTCAGCATACCCTCACCAAAAACATTAAAAATTATAAAATGCAGGGAGACTTGGGTTCAACCCCCAACTAGAGCGATGTTTTTTTATCGCTCTCTTTCCGGAGGTGCCGGTGATCTCTGGTGCACTGTATGCGTCCGTCGGTGGTATAACGCCTAAGAGCATGAAAGCTATCTGAATATCATATTCATTCAAGATAAAATGAGTAGGCAGTGGTTAAGGGATGGTGACACGTAGCATTTATCTACTCGGAGTTAATTCATTGATTTGTGCCACTCTAAATGACGAAAAGCCAGTTGGACCGCCTTTCCATCACGTTCAGCTTCTCGGGAAAGAGGCCCATTCAATTCTACTAGGGACCTAGATCTGTATTAATAAAACTAGAGTGATGTCTCTTTCTCATTGCTTTCCTTGGTCGGGACACGGCGCTGGGTCTTGGCACTCTTGATCTTCGGGGATGATGTATATGTAAGGAGGACAGAACATCGTGCATTCACTGAAACCAGGATGCTAAAACGGCGGTTTGAGAAAGGTGACACGTAGCATTTACATTGTCGAACCTAGCCCACCCTGTTAAGACTCTGCGGATGGCGAAGGTGGGGTAAGCTCAGCTCTTCATTAGCTTGCGCTTATAATTCTAGGGCAACCCAGTTAACATGAAGCTACATACCGCAGTAGTACCTCCACAAATTATGGGATCTACAATTGATGCCACGAATCTGTCAGTATTCCTACCAAAAAAAATCCGGTTGAGTTATCCACTTACATATCTGTTACATAATTACAGTAAGTGGCAAATAATTCATGGGATTTGTGACACGGGGTAGAGACTCTCCCGGATTCTCAAGGATAGCCTCCGGTGATAGGGGAGTTATAGTTGTGTATGTTCGCGCTGGCGGGCGGGCCTCGTTGTGTGTCTCTTTGTTGCTCACTTTCAAAGACCGGAGTGAGGGTGTTTCGGTGGTGTGCATGAGGTTTTACGAAGATTTCCAAATGTGATAGGCAATGAAATTGTAGGACAGTGCGTAAGCGTTAGAAGAAACGTAAAGAGATATAGACATGATTCAACACCATCCTTAGTGGTGGCTGTCGTTTCCGGTTGGAGGTCGCCCCGGACTGACCAACCCACCATCCGAGTGATAGGCTATGACTAAAGCTATTTTCGAGTGGGACAAGGGATTTCGCTGGGTGCGAGTGCACTTATTACAATGAGCTGTACTCGATTTGGTGAGTTATAGCCTCCTCCGAGGTACTATTATTCAAGAAGTGTGGGACAAGTCCGATGAGCTAAGCCATATAGCCACCCAATCCCTCTTTTTGCGCCGCTGTCCCTACCTTGGCTCTGCGTTTCTCGCGATGCACATGGGTGTTGAGAATATTAACTACCGGAGGCCTATTACAGGTACGAAGACGTAAATAAGGGAAACGAGAACGAACATGCCATCCTAAAACACGAAAGAGACAAAAGCCAGTGGTTTGAGACTCACGTAATCACCCCGGGCGGAAATTTCTCTGTTCCGGGTTGGCAAATATTTACCGCCACCCCATAGATTTCAACACAGCGGACCGAGTAATTGCGGACCGGCGGCCGGTTTCATGGGGCGTTCCCGTTCTAGAGTTAATGACCCGGGGAAGCGGTAATTGCCCGGCCAGGCTTGACCCAAATGCAAAGCTACTAGATTTAGTAGAAGTCGGCAGGTTCAGTAATCCGCGACTAGGTTTTGGCTTTTGTAGAGAGCGGTCTGGTCTGTGATTGGTTTATTTTTTTTTGTTTGTTTGTTTAATTAATAAATTTGGGCTGTGATTGGTGGGTGGGCCAATCCTTCCACAAAGGGCTTGAATCAACTTCAAAAAGCCATGAATCAATAACCTGGGGGGGTTATTTTTTAGTAGGGTATTTTACGGAACTACTTTTGCTCTAGTTTCGCGGCGATTGAGTGTAACGTATGCCTCTTTAGGAAAATCTTGCCACCATCCACCAATCACTGACCATACCGACAGCCATACAAGCTAAAACTCAGGCGGAGCTGGCAGAACCTGCTGAGAATGTGATCAAAACCAATTTACGTATCCTTTTTGAGACGCCCCCGGCCGGCACCAGATCGAACATGACACCCGTTCATCGTACTCCCTATAGTCGCGGGGGTGTTGGTTGCCTGCAGGGCCTTTCACCCGCCAGGCGAAAACAGAAATACCCTGCATCGAAGAAAGAGGTACACAGCCCTAAAGTGCTTCATATTGGTGACATGAATAGTAATTAACATGAAAAAGGTAAACTGTGCCTTTATATGTACATGTAGTTACCCTGTGGTTGTCGACAGCTGCAGCTGGATTGTACCGCCGGATGCCAAGGCCGAGTGATACCTTGTGAGAGGCGGTGGATGCAGATGGGAAGTTCGGGGGATTAGTGCGATATTGCAATAACTGTAAGGTGGTATGTAATTAATGAATTGGCGAAAAAAGGGGGGAAAAATGCGATTGCGCTGCCGGGTGTAACTGACCGAGTGATACCTTGTGAGCCAAGACCAGGGTCGCCGCTCGATAAGGAAACAGTGGGGACAGACAACCTGTGTCATTATAAGGCTAGCATTGGATAACAAATAGGAAGAGAGAGGTAAAACCATCTCCTAGGACATCTGATTACTTTCTCATAACGAGTGGTGTCAATTCCCTACATATCCGGACCCCGGACGCCAGGCGCTACCGATCCGCAATATTCAGTTTGCGCCGAAGTCAAGGGGGTCCGCTAAATGGTTTCCCTTTAATTCTTCTGTCTGTTAGCGCAAACTAAGAGTGAAAACACGGGGCATTTTATTGTTTCTTTTGTGGCCGTTCATCGGCTTATGAGCTCACATCTTATACCAGCCCGCAGGTGAAGGGTGCCAGGCACTTCCGATTTCACCAGCAGGATCTAATCCAATTCCAATTTCAATGGCAATGACAATATCACTACCTCCGGGGGCTGTAGCGGGAGCTGACTGTAGTAGCATGAAGAATGGATTACCGTCATATCCAGGTGAAATGGTGTTGATTCTCAAATCATACAACTCACTCGGATTAGTCTCCTTTCCCTCCGGCCATACATTTCCGGCAGTCAGGCATCGGGTTCAGGGCCTGCCGCGTGCCTCCTTGTACATACACACCCCACTTCCGAGCTGTGAGCACGTATAGAAGGAAATAGGAAAAAAAAACCATGCAACACCGGGAGTGCTGGGTTGGCTTTCTGCCTTGGGTGGTTTCTTCCCCTTTTGTGAAGGCATTGAGTTCCATACAGCACCCCGGCCCGGAGCATGATATGCTTCTTTTGAAAATTCAAAGCAGCGTAACTGCAGCCTCAACCTCCCACGCGGTTAGTCTCCGGTATGGTACGCGCAGGCTCGAGGAACCCGAAGCCGTCTATGACAGCGGCTGCACCCATTCCCAGTTTTTCATTCACCTCCGCGGACGCAGGCGGGTGTCTTGGGGTAGGTTGGGAGGGAAGCGGACAAGAGTATTCTCTGGAGCTGAAGGGATGCGGTATATCGATTCCTTCAGTATTCAAAGTCCCCGTTAGTAGAGTAGGCTTTATAAAGAGAATCGATACCGGTTGTGCTGTGTAATGCATTGTGGTTTCCGGAGCCTGGGATACACTACCGGTGCGTAAGGAGGTTATCGATAAGAGTACTTGAAGGTGTGGTATAGGGGGATCGGGTGTGGGGGATATGTAAAACCAACGGCTGGCATCTGGAGGTGTTTGCAATGTCACCTCGCGCGTTTCATGGGTAAGCATTGCTCCTAAATATCCAATGTGGGACAAGATGTAAACAGTATGTAGTACCTGTACAACGGGCGCATTTGCAGGCGGTAGAGCGCGGCTTGAACGGGTTTACACACGGGTGTGTCACGCCCTTTGGGCGCTCCGGTGTGGCCTCCCCGGGATCTTGGCCTTGGTGCCGATTGGATGGCATTATGTGTCTGGAGGTTCTATTTCTGGTGGGGGATTGTTGCTGTGTGTTCTGGAATGGTTAGATGGGTGGGTTTTATAAGGGCGGAGTAGGGTTGTGTCAGTAACAGTCCTGTCTCGCTCATTTATCGAATTAATTCCGTTGAGGTGCACGTGATCTGTCCCCTTCGTTTTGGGGGGGATGAATGGGGGTAAAGAGGGAGCAAAAATTGCAGAACAAAATGAGCATTGATCCGTATTCATAAAATGCCGCTCCCCCGATCACGGTAGTGGAGGAGTATATATATGGGGGAATGCAAGGCCGAAACATATCTGAGTAGAAAGATAAAACAGGTGAATGCATGCGCTGCTTGCATGTGCATTATTGATTCTACCGAACTTTAACTCAAGATTATGTCGAGATGAGTACAACACATATACAGACTTCAGCCCCGGTACCTCCGAGCTCCCAGCCACACACGGCCAGGCACTGCTCTGGATGCCCGAATATATCCACTACCTCCCGCCTAGCACACACACCCGTCAGTCACCAATACTCACTCCCCCGAACTCACCACCAAGCCACCAAAAAGACTAACCTCGTCTACCGCCACCTTGCCACCTTACGCGGTGTCCCTGCCCCTGCCCATGTCTGTGCCCATGTGCCCTCCCACCCCCCCTCACCGTCAACACCCCCACCACGCAAAATCCCTCGGCGTCACCGCACGCATCCGAAGCTCGCACCTCTCACCCACAACGGTCACCACATTCTCCGCACGCTTATCGCCCCCGCTCTCCCGCCAGCGCGGCAGGCTGAGCGTCTGCGAGTCGACATCGACACACGTGATGCGGCTGGCGGACTCGGGAGGGTAGCGCTGGTTCATGTCGATGATCTGCAACAGGGTGAAGACGCTGAAGAGGAAGTAGACGGTGGTGCGGAGGAGGCGGAGGAAGGGGCGGGCGGTGTGTTGGAGGTAGGAGGTGATGGAGATGCGGCGGCGGAGGAGGCGACGGGTGAGGCGGAGGATGACGCCGAGGTTGCCGGTGATGAGGGGGGGGAACATTGTGGTGGTGGAGTGGGGGGTGATGGTGATTGATGCCTTGGTTGTGGTGGGGTGGATGGATGGATGGGGATGTATGAGGAAAGGTCGAGATGGAGAGAGGAGGGACGGAGAGGAAAGGTGAGGAACGGCCAGCCAAGCAATTCATCGGCGAATTTGGCCGCCAGAAGGGCTCTACCGGCCACTCTAGCGTGGGAGAAAGATGACTCGCGGCCACTGTTGTTGATCTGGTGTTTTGTGAGTGCCAGATTGCTTGCTTTCCGGTGCGTTCCCAGAGGTGTTTATTTCGTGGAATTGCGTCCTCTTGGGCACCGACATATCCGAGTTACGTGGCTGTCAGCGGGTGATCTCGACGTCTTTTGCACCTGTTTATACTCGTCTGAAAGTGAGGGTGTCGCTGATTACTTGCCTGATAATCTGTGCAATTTTTGAGGGTTGCTGTCAAAAGCCCAGAGTGTCATTCCTGGCTACATTGAATCTTGGCTATAAAATTAGCCACAACACGTACCATGCTTGGTGTCATTAGCATAACCACCAGATAAGTATTCTGGAGTTTCCTCTACAAATGTCTGAATTATATAAATCATCACCCTTGCTCTTTTCCTCCAAATACTGCTTTCTGAGTCCTTTCGTCACCCCCGGCACTCGCCAGAAGCACCGCACTCGGCGGTCCCCCCCCCCCCCGCGGAACACCTCAGGGTCGCTCAATTTGAAATCACAGAATGCACTGAAGATAGATGTTTACCGAACCAAAATTTGTCTGCCGCCTAAACCGTGCAACGAAATCTCCTCCGGTGATCGCACTTTTCGCCGATAGCTGCCCTGCTCACGTGTTTTCTGAGCATCAACTGGACTCCTTGATGTAGAGATATGTAGTATTATGACGAGTGAAACTCGTATCTCGCGATCGCCATCCAAGCTCTGTCATCTTCGCCGGATACGTGGCAGGGATAGCTAGTTCATGGAATATCACTCGTTCAACGCGGTTCCCTGCGTCCTCACCCCAGTACCTAGCAGCCGCGCGACAAGTAAGAACAGCTGTCTGAACCATATTAGCAGAAAAGAAAAGCTCCCGCGAGAGGGACTCCCGCTCTGATACATCAGGTCCACTCAGGTTGACTAATCAAGATATACGCAGCACACCTCCGAGAATTGGGGGATTTGGGGGCAGGACCCTGATACCCGACACCGCCGACATATACAGAGCGGGGCAACTAGTCATTATTGTACGTGGATGCATATTTCTAAGGGTGAATGATAAACGTCTCATCATACACATAAGCATCCACACTGGATACGGTTCCGTCATGGGTGATCACTCGACACAAGCTTGTGAAGAGCTGGGCATATACGTTTTTTTTTTTTTTTGTTTAATTCATTAATTGCTGGGCATATACGTTGTGGTACAAAATTTATATTGTTGATTGACTCGTTGTGATATCTCCACTGCATATCGGAGCAACTGTATGCGTGGACTGAGGGATTAGTCCTCCATAGGCACCTCCGGTAGATGAAGATTGATTGCTCGAGATGGAGAAACGAAGAAAGATATCTTGAAGCCCAGTAAACGTTTCCTAAATGTATGTCTTTAGATTATGATATAAGGTGACCTGTGATCTGTCTCGTACTATACATATACCCCTGCTACAAACATACAAGGATGTACACCTCCTCGGCCTAGTATATACACATTTAATAGCGTTCAAGGGATTCCGGGTTCACTGGAACTTCTGGAAACGAATGCAGAAGTGATGCTACTCCAGCATCTAAGATTTTTATATATGGGGGGTGCTTTAATCATAAGTAGACAGTGAGAAAGGCTGAGTTTTCTAGACAAGGTTCTATGCATTTAACGTTGAGTGTAGATGGAACATTGGACAACACTGAATGAACACCATAAGCCCCAAGCCCTTACTTAAAGTTTAAACACCTGTTATCTGACGAACGTCACCTGTTATTTTCCGATCTCCCGGTGTAAAACTGATCATCTCACAACACACTCCCCGAGTACACAACAACTCCATCACATCCATCTCAGCCTTTTAAAATATTATCTCCGCTACTTTAGATCTCCTACCCATCATCTTCATCTATCACATACGCCAAATAAAGGAGTTAAACATATCCTCAGTGGAAAGGAAATACGCCACAGGTGCGGCAAACCATCACGCCCAACACTGACGATCCGGCTGCTCGAACCCTCAGCAAACAGCCATCGTACGCCAGATTATATGGCGTTGGTGTACTACTTCCGGAGGACGACAAAATGGTCCCGGGTACCTGTGTATGTTTCTATCTTGACTTTGCTTTGATGGAAACGATTGGTTGCTAATTGAATTTTAAGCTCGCTTCCATGTATCCCGGGATGCGAAATGGCAGACAATGTCATGATCGATCGACACTGCCTCCGGGGAGGAGGGGGTGTGGAGGTGGGGTCGTCGATTGGTGAGTTCCTGTCCCAATTATTATTTGCAGTATGGTTTGTAATAATTGATTTGTAGGCTCGCTAGCAACATTAATTTCCATGTGTCCCAGTATGCGAACGAACCGGAGATGTAACTGAGTGGTTTGAGCACCCTTGGTGCAGAACCACGTTGTGGTTGGGTGTTTTCTTGGTATGTTGGTGTTCCTGATTTTTCCTGATCTATATATGTGAACTAGTCTGACTCTCTTAAAAAAGCCATCCATCCCGGAATGCGAATAAACACACAGGGAGGTTGCGCCCTGAGGGGGGTAGAAGGATCTACAATGGTGGCCGAGAATTGGGATCTTGCGGGTATGCCATTACATTACCAATGTACGAAAAAATAGAGTAAAATCAGTACTATTTGAGTACCAGATTTAGCGAATAATACTGAATTAAACTAGCGTTACAGAAAGAATACTGTATTGATGCCGAATACTTACTGTTGTATTAATAGGAATCATGTAGCGAATCCATCTCCCTTTTTTGGTATTCAATATATATCCATTTAGAGATGTGTGGGCACTCGCACCAGCCGCTTATCGTTCAATACTTGGGTAGCCTAACTAGTCACTGTTCCATGATTGGGTATCCATTTCAGTAGATGCGACCCATCGATTGACCGGTAGTGCCATCCGATAATAGCGGTCAATTGGGTCGGGCTATATTTTGATATCAACGAATGGGGCGTGATGGCTGAATGGGTCGGAACAAGCTCTCGCTCATTGCCAGCTCCCGCAACTGTCCACCACCTCTGCAGTACTAACCCAGTTCCTTCAGTTAATAATAAGGTACCAATTTAATAAGGTACCAAATACCATCTCCAGTTAATTCCACCTCCAATACCGTCCTGTTAATAAGCTCGGCATACCAGTATCAATCTTCAGTTAGTGGACTGGTTGCTATGCAGGGTCAGGGTTTCCGCTCTCGACCAATCAGAGGCTCCGGTGTCCGAAAGAATAAGGGCAATACATATTAGATTAGATAGACTGCTATACAATGTCTGATGGTACAGGTCTGTTTGAGTTTGAGTTTGACAAATTTCTGGGGAACTACGAACTATCAGACCAAGGTCCTGCCGGTACTCTAACTCCTCTACAACAGTCAATTCAACATGTCTATGGCGATAAATATTCCTGGCTCACAATTGATGAACTACACGATCAGTTGCATCTTACCCCGGTTGGCCATATACTGGGGGTTACAGCTGCAAATGAGGTTTGTTACAGACTATTGACGGTTTTAGGAAAATGCTAATATTATCTCAATAAGTTGTTACGCCCGGCGTAATAATTCAAGCAAGCAGTCCGGCAATTCATCTGGCAAAGGTTCTGGGTTCTGGAAGAATAGCGCGATGGAACATTGCGACGAAGAGAAGCTGTTGTGTTCTGTCCCATTCGCCGGCGCTACCCAATCACCGGATATTTTACTATAACGTACGTATACAGGAAAACGAGACAGTGACATTGATTACCATATTGTTGATCAAATAAGGCTCATACGAAAGGAAGGGCCTCTGTCCGACAAGGCATGACCATCAGGAGGACGTAATTAGTATATGGGACAGGTGACTGGTATCGAGAAGAAAGAAGAGGTTGACTGAAGTTAGTATCCGCATTTTTTTTTTTTTTTTTTTTGGGGGGGGGGGGGGTTTAATTCATTAATTGCATGCAACCTTACAATTATGGCATAGTATCCGCATCTAATAATTACATATAGCCTATAATGAGCTCTATGACCTACTTAGTAACTGAGACGCAGTATAATAACACTCACCTGTAATATTAATACTCCATAGAGCTAGAGGCGCATCTATTCCCACCCGCCACCCTTAAAAATTGGTAAGGTTTGAACACAAGTAATAGTACTGGCGCTTGCTCTCTGGAACCAAAGGTCCTATCTTCAGATTCTGGGGGCATTTTATCAACCCTCCGGCTGTTGCTTGTGGTCATGACGGAATTTAAGATATCCAGCGAAATTAATGTTGATTATAGCGAATTAGTACTTCGAGAAAAGCGGGTATCGGTTCTGGAATTGTACCAATACCCGATGGATGGGATACCCACCCAGCAGACGTCCGGAATAACCAAAGTGTCCGGGATATGGGATACCCAATGGATGGATGTCCGGTGAATGGGTAGTATCTGCGCATGGGACAGAACTGTTTTAGCGGGAGGATGAACTTGAGAAAATAGCTGCAGATTCGGTTAAGACTCCGTCAGCGCTGGCCAAAGAAGATGAAGAGGCAGCAATTCACCGTCGCAATATGTTGGTTAAGTTGGGGAAAGAAGACAACAAGACGACCATGAGCCGAGCCCGCAAGACCAGGGGACGCCGCTGCTACTATTGGTCTTGATGGGGAAGACAATGACGAGGATGTCGCTCGTGAAATGAGAAGAGTAAGAAAGTGATGAAGGTTAATAGTTAGTAATGATGCGCCTCCTGCAGATACATTGGCAGTTGTTGGTGCCGTGGAAATCCTTGGGGCTGGAATACTTGCTGTTGTGCGGGAACTAGTTACTTTATACCCTATAGTATC